CACACACACACACACACACACACACACACACACACACACACACACACACTCACTCGCAGTTGGAATGCTTCCCCCAGGCTCCTACTCTTTCCTACAGGGACATCAAGTTCCTTTTCCTACTAAGTTTTACAACCGTTTTGTTGGGCCAGGTTTGGGAGGTAGGTCTGTTTTGGGAGAGCTCTCCTGTGACGAGATTAGTGTGTGCTGATAGTGTTCTGACTGTCTCCACTTCTCTCAACAAACAAGGCTGCCCAGGACTGACCCGAGGGCCCTAGATGGGAGTTAGGAAGGCCTCATTGTAACCAGGGAATGAGTCTGCGGGGCGCTGTCGGGGTGCTGAGTCAGCCAGGTGCTCCGATTACCAGAAGACTCAGAACCCTTTGAAGAAGCAGATGTTGTGCACTAGAGCAATCTCTGCTTGGGGAGAGGACATGGGACAGGCCACCAGGGCTCTCCGCCCCGAGAAGTCACAGGTACAGTGGTTCCACTCCAGGCAGGGCTGAGCCCTCGGGCCTCTGGCAGTAACTGATGTTGCCATGAGGACACGCCCGTGACTGTCAGAGCAAAGGTCAGAGGCAAACATGAAAACAGAATGGGTGTCAGAGTGTGAGTATAGGCTTACACACACACACACACACACACACACACACACAGGACCCAAGCATTCAAGGTGCAGCAGAAATCATTTGCACAGGATCAGAACAACCCGGGCTCTAGAAGGGTAACCGGCAAATGGCCTCACTAGGTACTGAGAGCTGGGACTGAATTTATCCTTCTGGGCAGAGCACAGCAGAGGGGCTGGGGCACAGGAAGGGTCTCCCTGGAGCAATGTGATAGTGCAAACAGCTATCACTCAGGCTTCTGTACTGGGGTTCATCAGAAGGGGGTGCTGCTCTGCACCTCTGACCTAAGGCCTAGTCTGGCTGCCTTGGGACAGGTCTGACAGGTCTGGCTGGTAGAAGTACTTCTGGAGCTCCCCAGGGACTACAGCTGCTGAGCAGCACTGTTACCAGGCCAGGCCTCCACCAGCCGTATCTCGCCGCCCTGCCCTTCCTGGACCCAGACCAGTGTGTGTGTGTGTGTGTGTGTGTGTGTGTGTGTGTGTGTGTGCACGCACGCGCGTGAAAGGAGGTTGTTCTCGCCCAGACCAAGCAGACAGCGCTGCCTCCTCACAACTCTCCAGGGCCACCCTAGGTGGTGTCCTGGAGGAGGAACGGGTTAATCCAGAGGGAAAGTGTTCCGTTTGCCCAGCCAACCTCTCAGCTGGCTCTCTGCCTACCAGCTGACTGGCCGGCCTGGAAGCAGGCCCGATGTGCTGTCCCTCCGCCTCAGCATAGCTTCCGTCCATGCTACGCTGCAGAGCCCCGCCCGTGCGTCCAGGGGCGCACCACGCTCCGCACCCCACCAAGGAGACTGCAGCTTAAAAACAGCATCTTTATTGGTACCTGTCAGCTCAGGTACGATGTGTTCCCACAAGCACACAGGCTGGCAAGGCCTCCTCCTGGGCAAGGAGGCAGGCCCAGAGCCTGCGTTTCTTGGCACACACACACACAAAGAAATGAATAAATTATACTTCTGACACTTCGAGACAATATAAAAATGCATACAAAATCCAACATCAGCTAATGAAGGGCATAAAAGCCCTCAAGAGCCAACCCCTTGCCAACAGGCCAGGATGGACTCAGTGCCCAGAGGGCCCGAGACAGTGATCTCGGGGGTGCTTCACGTCCTGAGGCAAGCCTGTTGCCCCTCTTGGGGTCTCTGGCTCTCCACCCTACAGGAGGGATTTATAAGCCATGGCCTCAGGGGAAAGCGAACTGGCCGAAGGGCAAGCAGAGTGGCTGGCGGGGGGGGGGGGGGGGGGGGGTCACAGCTGGTCAAGCACATTCTCCGCCTGCTCAGAGGAGACCACAGGCCCAAATGCACATGGCCACACCAAAGCCCAGACTGGCCGCATACACTGAAGGGACTGGGCCCCGACACTACCCACCCGCCAGAGGGGTCCAGGCACTGCTGCCTCAGTCCCCAAATAAATTACAGAAATAAATTACATCTTCACAGTCCAGATCAGCTCGCGTGGTTCACAGGAAGCTGTAAGGGCCTGCTCCCCTCTGGTGCTGCCTTTGGGCCAAGGAGCATCTTACAGTAAAGGAAGGTGTGTGAGGCTCCAAGAGAGCCCTGCCCCCTCCTATGGGCACACAGTGGGAGGTGGAAGACCTGTTTGGATAGCGAGAGACTAGGTATTGAAAGAGGGGTACCCCCTTCCCACCCTTCCTTCAGTACAGAAAATAAAAATAAAAAGTTAAAATAAATAAATTTAGAGTGTTAATGTAAAAATAGAGGGTGTCCACGTAGCACCCATGGCTAGGACCCGCCCATGGGAGACCGTTACATACACAGACCTTGGGGAACCCCCAAATCACACAAGAAGCAACTGGGGCTCTGGGGACAGGCAAAAGGCACCTCAGTCCTTACACGGGCACAGGCTCCACCAAAGGTGCCAAGGTAGTGTCCTCAAACTGGCTCTCCAAAAGGGGTGCCAGGACGTCAGGAACCGGCTCCGACAGGCCCATGAGAGACTCCAGGAAGCAAGTGCTAGCATCCCTCGGTGGAGAGAGGCTGGACAAAGGGTGGGGGGCCTCAAGGCTGTCCAGGCTGCCCGATACCCTTCGGGAAGTATAGTGGGGTCCCAGACTGTAATCTGGCAGGGCCTGCAGCAGTTCAAAGGAGTCACAGGAAGATAAACTGAGGTCCCCAGAGCTGCTCTGGGCAGCCTCCACCCCAGGGGACTCGGCAATGCCAGGGAGGCTGCCTTCTCTCAACCCCTGAAGTCCGCTGTTTAGGAAGCAGCTGGCATCCAGGTTGGCATTCTCATCTAGGATGCCTGATGCAAGGCTTGAGCCAGACTGGCTGTGAGTCCAGCTGGCCAGGCTGCCGGGGTCACCGGCACCAAAGATGTCAGCCAGATGGAAGCAGCTGAGGTTATCCAAGCCGTCCATGCCCCTTCCCTCCTCCTGTTCCTCCTCGACTCCCAGGTCAGAGTCGCTGAAATTCAGGATCTGTACCAGGCTGTCCTCATCGACGTCAGACCGGAAGCTGGGAGCTGCGAGGCTGGGGGGGGCAAGGCCGTCTGGAGACTCGCCGCTGCCGGAGGACGAGGACGTGGACGAATCTGTCATGTCGCTGCTGCAGCTGTTGCCCTCCAGCTCGCTGCTCACCGGCGGCGTGGCCAGCGGAAAGGGCGAAGCCAAGGCTTGCTCAGCAGGACTGTCCCGCACCGGGCACTCAGCGCCCCCCAGGCTCTCGGCTCCCTGCTCCATCTGCAGGCGGGTGAGGGTATGGATGAAGTGTGTCTGAACCCTGGCCTGATTGAACTCCACTCGACCGTTGGGGTTCTCGCAGCCCTCACTACAGCAGCCACAGGGGAACGATGTGTGATCCATCTGCAGAGAAAGACAATGCCAAGTGAGGGCTTCGTGGGTGCACGGAGCAAGCGGCACGCTCAGCTCCCCGCCCACCAAATCCTAACCTTTTTGTTAGGTCTGTTTTTGTTGGTTTGTTTTGTTTCAAAACAGGGTTTCCCTATGTAGCCCTGGCTGTCCCGGAACCCCCTCTGTAGACCAGGCTGTCTTTGAACTCAGAGACCCAGCAGCCTCTGCCTCCCAGCGTGCCGGGATTAAAGCGTGTGACACGTGGCAGATTTTCCTGTTTCTATTTTTTTTTTTTTTATCGGTTTTGTTCTAGCAGCAGGGCCAGAGCTTTAACGCCGAGACCCCGAGCAGAGCAGGCATCCCCTCCCCCACCCCGTGCGCCCACGCACCTGGCACTTGATGCCCGCCAGGCTGCAACTGCAGGTCTCGGGGTCACAGACTCCGTCACAGTGGCAGCCGCAGTCCTCCCGGGACTGGCGCAGCGCCTGCAGCTCCCTCTTCTCCTCCCCGTCGATCCTCCGCACGCCGGAGGCGCGGAGCAGGGCCCGGCGCTGCCGAGGCGGATGGGGCTGCAGGAAATTCACCTCCTCCAGGCGGCCGCCCGCCACGGCCACCGCCAAGCCCTCCTCCACAGAGGCGTCGTCGATGGCGTCCACCGTGAGGGGCACGCGCGCCCCTGTCTCCGGAACGCCGGCCACCGACAGCTACACGTACGGGAAAGGCGTGTGAGAGAGGCGGCTATCCCACCCTCCTGGGATGTGGGGCGCTGTACGTGGAGGCGGGGAAACACGCTCACATCTGCACAGATCTCTTATTCGTGCCGTCTTAGGTCAGGCAGGAAACCCCTTCTCTGACTAGAGGTGTGCACCGGCATCGTAAGGCCAGAGGAGTCAAGCATCCCGCCTATCTGAAGCTGCCATCTTTTCTTCTGAAAACCGCCTTGGCCTCAAACTGGCTATGTAGCTGAGGGTGACTTTCCCCACCCAAGTTCCGGGAAGACAGGTGTGCAGAGATGCTGGCTTATGGGGTGCTGGTGACAGATGCCAGGACTGCCTACACGACAGGCAATCACTCTACCCGCCCGAGCTACAAGTCCCGCCACTGAGGCCTCTCTGCATGCCTCCCCTGACACCAACCAAACAGGGCCTGTTTCCCTACACAGGCAGCGTGCAAACTGGCAGCCTGGGTCCATACCTTCCACCTCAGCGCCTCCAGTTTCTCCTCCTTCAGGCGCTGACGGAGCTTCTCACGCCGAGCCCGGGCCTGCTCCTGTGTAAACTCGGCTAAGGAGAAGAGGCGGCAGGCGCTGTGGCGAGAAGCCATGCCCAAGGTGCAGCCACCGCGGCTGGGCACACTGGTGAAGCCCTGACACCGGGGGAAATAGTAGACAGTGATGCCATCAAAGGCCACTCGGCCCCGACGCTGCCGCCGAGCTCGCTTCAGGATGGATGGGGCTGAAAGGGACAAGAAGGAGCAGAGAGTGAGCTCCCTGTGTGTGTGAGAAGGTATAATCTCGAGGCAGACTTATGCCCATTCACTCTACCCACCCACACTGGATTTAAATTAAAAAAATTAAAAGCCAGGCCTGGCTGGATCTGGAGAAACGGAACACCAACCACACTGGCTTGTTGCCATTTATTGGCCCAAAGGACTACAATCAAAGATTAAGCATCCTGTCGCCATTACCTTGTATTTATAGACCCTTTTTATGGTTTTGTCATCTTTATTCATTTGCTAAGAGATCTTTACATGTAATAAAACCTATATAATCCTGTGTTTAAGTATCTATCAAAGAACTGGAGAGCTGGCTCAGCAATCAGGAGCGCTGGCACCCACACAGGAGCGCACCCCAACGCAACCCCACTTCCAGAGGATCAAGCGCCCTCTTCTGGCCTCCTCAGGCATAGCCTGCACATGGTACATGGACATATACACAGAGGACTCCTACGCATAAATTAAAAAGATAGATATCATTGAACTTCTCCTTTACAGTTCTGCAGCCGATGCAGAAAGTCTTTTAGAATACTGATTACATAGCGAGAGAAGGTTGTAGGAGTTGGTTCTCCCACCATGTGGGTTGCGGGGACTGAACTCAGAGGCCATCAGGCTTGGCGCCTTTACCTCTGAGCCACCTCACTGGTACTGATTTCCTTGCTGTTTTTCAAAACTCACTTGTTTTCAGTAAGTGCGTGTGTGAGTGTATGCCGCCTGGGTGTGGGTGCCCCGGAAGTTTAGGAGTCAGGTTCCTAGGAGCTACAGGTGGTTGTAAGCCGTCTTTTGTGGGTGCTGAGGACCAAACTAGGGTCCTCTGCGAGAGCAAGGTGCTCTTAGCTACCAGGCCATCTTTCCAGCCCTTGTTCATGTTTTCGTGGGCCACTTTCACAAGGTATCTCCAACGGGCCTACAACCTGAGGCTCCACTGGGCGTCTTCTCTCAAGAACCGGAATTAAAGGCGTCCTGTACCCCAAGCTGGCCCACCACTGGCTGTGTAGCAGGGGACCAGAGTCCTGGTCCTCCTGCCTCCTTCCTCCCCAGTCCTGGGATTATAGGTGCTCACCTCACTATTCCCAGAGACCTCAAGTTAATGTATTAACTCCAGTCAACTACCCGAGAAAAATGCCTTCTCGAAGGCTTTCTGTTTGTAATGTTAGAGTCCAGGCATTAAAAATACTTTTTCTTTTAAGATTTACTTATGATGTATTCAATGGTCTGTCTGCACGTACACCTGTACAGCAGAAGAGGGCACCAAATCTCATTCTAGATGGTTGTGAGCCACCATATGGCCACTGGAAATTGAACTCAGGACCTTTGGAAGAGCAGCCAGTGTTCTTAACCTCTGAGCCACCTCTCCAGCCCTAAAAATACTTTTTTTTTTTTTTTAATGTGTAACACACAGGCATGCATATGAGACACGGAAGGGTGAACAGAATAGCTGTGTGTCAAAACATTGTAGGGAGACATAATCCAGGGTTTTAAAACATTCCCCGTGTGAGGGAAAACTGTCTAAAATAGTTCTTGGAGTAGAAAGAGCATGATGAAAATCTTTACATTATAAAGATAAAGCAGGCTGTACTTATATATGTATATGTACATATAAAAATAATTAATGAAAAGGAGACCATGAATTTGAATGAGGGCAAAAAGGGGTACATGGGGAGATTTGGAAGGAGAAAGAGTGGGAGTGGTGTAATTATAATCTCAACAATTAAAAAAAGATTTTTTTAAAAAGGACCATCTTTCAGTTTGGAATCAAAATTATACAAGGTTGCACGACAACCAGGAAGTCAGCCGTGGGGAACACACCCATAATCCCTGCACCACGGAGGCAGATGTCATACAGTTGGAAGACTACCTGTGTTAATGAGACTGTTCTCAAATTGAAAAAAAAAAAAAAACAAAACAGGAAGACAAGAAAACTAACCAGGAAAACCCCTTTTGGGGGCATTCAGAAAAAAGCTAAAAAAGCAATGAAACCAGAGGGAAGTGTTGAGCAGACCGTGTGCATGGGGTGTCAGGGCCGTGGATGAACTCCTTGCTGGTTCCTGGCAGGGACCCGGTATACAGGGAAACAAATGCAACAGAGGAGCAGCCGCCCAGACAGGGCCCAGAGCACTCAGGAGAGCAACACCCCCGACACCACGCCCCCAAGTCAAACGGAAGTCAAGGTGTCGCTGGATGGTGGGGCAGTCATAAGGCTTCAGAGAAGGGGATGGTTCAAGGGGGGCTACCAGGGCTGACATGGCCAATTTCCCCGTCAGGAAAAGAAGGGGGGCGGTGTGGAGGTCGGGGTACCAAGGACGGAAGACTCACGAGTGAAACTTTGGGGGCTGAAGGAGTCCTGATCAGGCCGGGATGGGGGGCCACACGGTCCCTCCTCATCTGAGTTCCAGGCAGGGTCGACAGAAGAGCCAGGGGAGGAAGAGAGAGACAGACTGCCAGAGGACAAGGAGGAGGAGCTAGCATCATCCTCCTCCAGCTGGTCAAACTTCCTCTTCAGTAGCCCAGCCATGGTGGTATGTAGGGTCTCTAGAAGCTGAGGACAGACAGCCTGGAATGAAAGGGAACAAGAACTCTTAGACGGGTGGGGGCTCCCGGCCTAATGCTTTCCCCAGCCCCGGCTGCCTTTCCATGGATCTCCCAGACCCTGTCGGGGACCCCAGCCCTGCCAGAAGCTGCAGGTTCCTGGTAGGCTCTCCAGGAGGGTCCCAGTCCCGGGAGCACAGCAGCCCCTCCCTCAAATGAGTCTAACATCCAAATGCAGAGCCTCTGACCTCCCAAGACCTCCCGCCCCATAACAAGCCTTCTCAGGAAACAGCCAGGTGTTTCCCCAGTGCCACACACACGCACACACCCACACACACTGCACCAGGCCAGAAGGCAGACAGACCAACAGATGGACTGACAGAACTCAGCCTGGCCTGGCTCATCTTCACAGGAATTCTGGTGGCTGACTCACAGGCTCTCCATGCGCCTGCCCAAGCAGGGCCTTCTGTGGCCTCCAGAGCCTTCATCTATAGGCAGCACTCCCCCGAGACCACCACGCAGGGCTACCCCCACCACCACCAACTGACCACTCCGGGTCCTTACTCCTGGGCCAGGCTGGCCGCGCCCTCCAGGAAGAGGAGCTGGTTTTGAGCCTGGCTCGATTCTGGCAGAAGGACTTTCCCTAAGTCCCTCCCCGGCCCCCACCCCTGGGATGGAGCTTAGATTTTCCCTCAGAAACCCCCATGCCTCAGGAGAAAAGTCCCCTGCTCTAGGCTGGACCTTGGCAGAAGACTTTTCTCCACTATCTAACCCCATGGTTAATTCTCCTTCAAACAAAACCAAACCTCTCATAGTGAAAGCTGCTGTGCTGTGTCTCCCTGGCTGTAGCTTCTCTGGACCCCTGGGAGGATACGCTCACTCAGCAGTCAGGCTGAGGGGTGAAAGCCCCTTCCCTAAGCCCAGTGTTTGGGAATAACCCTCCCTCCAGGCCTGGGGACCCTCAGCGAATTGTAGGGTGGTGGCTGACTGTACCTACCTGCTGCCTTGATGTGGCCGCCTGCCTGCGGCACTAAATCACTCAGGGCCAACCCACCACAGCTGAGGACCCCTCCCCCATCCCCATCACAGGAAGTGAAAGGGGCAGGGAAATCAACCAGAAACCTGTCTGAGTCTCCTCCCTGTGGTCCCTTCTCCTATCCCGAGCAAGTGCCCGAATCCTCGGTGTCTGCTGAGTTCACTCACTGGATAACGCGCTCATGAGGTGGCAGCCATGGGAAAGGCTCAAGAAACTCTTGCTCTCAGGCCAGGCCCCCACCCCAGGCCTGGGGGACTGGGACATGCAGGTGTTTCCGGGGGCAGTTCCTCAGACTTGGTTACCCACCTTCCCAGAGTCAAACCACAAACACAAACAGCCCAGTTGACCTGTAGGCCCTCCCGGGGGATGAGGGTGTTTGGTTGTGAGCCAGGTACCACACACACACACACAGACACACAGACACACACACACACACAGACACACACACACACACAGACACACACACGCACACACACACGCACCCTGACCACAGACACACATACACAGTTGCTATCCAGTTACCGCCACAGCCTAATGCACGGGGGGGGGGGGGGGGGGGGGGGGGGGGAGGGAGGGGAAACACCACCACCTTCTTCTCTAATTTCCAGATGCTTCCCTAAGACAAGAGAAACAACCCTGAGACCCCCAAGACCCAGGGCCCATTCCCCCTGGAAATACACAATTCCACAGGCCCCAAACTGAACCCCTGTCTCCATCGCCCCCCTTCATACCATCTGTTCCTCTTCCTGTGTTCCCTGTCTTAGTAACAGGGCTGCCACCCACCCAGTTACTCAAGCCAGAAACCTGCAGCCACCCTCGGCTCCCCCCCCCCCCCCCCTCCTTGCACCCACATCCAGGCAGCGCTCAGTCCTAGAAGTTCACCTACAGGCTAGGCACAGCCTTGGTAGGGGCCCCAACCATCGTCTTTTGGACCTCCTGGGCAAGCTCCTTCACACCACTGTCACCAATTGTCTGAAGCCTCCAGAAGGCCAGGTAGGCTGCCGCACACTTGCTATCCCAGCACTTGGGAGGCAGAGGCAGGAGAACCGATAGTTCCAGAGCAGCCTCAGCTACAGGAGACCGTGGCTCAAAATAAAGGAAATAAATACAAATCAGAACCTCACAGGGTTACAGGAATCGATACCCGTCAAGTTCTCTGTCGGTGATTCGTGCTCAGTGAGTGTGCAAAAAATAGCAAGCTCTAGGACTCACAGATGAGTGAGAGCATCAGGAAACACAGACCAAGATTAGTAAAAGGTAGAAGCAAGCAGAGGGGACGCGTGTGTCCCAGCCCTCTCCACAGCCAGGCTAGAAAGGGCAGAAAAGTCTTCCAGGAAGAGGGGGAGGAGGGGTGTGTCCTGGGGCCAGGTGTGAGGGGACCTCCTGGGGGGGGGGGGTTGCAGGGTGGCTCTTTAGCCCCGTGGTAGTTTGCAGGGGTGTGAGTTGCTTAAAAATTCCTCTAGCTGCACGTGTGACATTCCCATACTGTCTGTCTGCTATGTAGGTCACCTGATGGTGCAGCTCCCTGGTGAAGCGCTCGTGCAAAGCCCTGAGGTGACTTCTCGGCACACACACTGAGCTCATCACCTGTCCCGAGCCTCTGCCCCCACCTGCTACCACCCATGTGTTCTGAGCCACCCTGCAGCCCACAGCCAGTGACAAATGCAAACAGCACCGTGCAGACCCCATGCTAAGCACCACGCTGCCGCAGCTCCCCACACGGCCTCGTCCCTGCTCCCCTCCCCTCGCTTCTGCAGATTGGAGCAGCCCAGCCTCACATCCTTCCAGGAGACATTTCTGACCTGAGAATCAAAGCTCACATTTATACAATACCAGATGAGGCAGGAGAATGGCCCAGAGTTTCAGGCCAACCTGATTCACAGAGTAAAACCCCCTCCCCTGAAAAGGTATGTCCAAAAGGACCTCAAAAGCTCCCCACTTCTGCCTTTTCTGGGGCACTGCTGTGGACAGAACACTTTCCAACAAAAACACTCCTAGGTCAGATGTGACTCTCCAGTGCAATGAGCTGGGGAGCAAGAGGTTCAGGAATTGATGGCATCTGAGAGAAAGGGTCTCATGTGGTCCAAGGTGGCCCTGGTTCCCAATCCGCATATGTCCACTTCCCAAGTGCTGGGGTGACAGACCTATGCTGTCACCCCATATCTGTGCCTCTGAGGGCCAGGGACACAGCTCGGCTGGCCGGCACACACAGGCCTTCTCTGGGTGGCCCTGGTTGTCCTCACAGAGATCGCTTTCCTCTGCCTCCCTAGCACTGGGATTAAAGGTATGCGGCCCATGCCTGGCTTTGGGTTCAGTTTCCTAAGGAAGAGAGATGAGCAGCTGGAGGGCAGTCAGGAGCACTGGCTGAAGAAATCCTGACTTCCATTCCCAGCACCCACATGGTGGCTGGCAACCGTCAGTAACTCCGGTTTGCGGGGAAGGGGTGACACCCTCCTCTGACATTCGAAGGCAAAACATTCATACACACAAGTTAAAGATAAAGCGTTTTTAAAAGGATAAGAAGACCTACCCCTGTCATAAAGGAACAGCAGGACAGTGCCCATCTACAAACCAGGAGGGGAACCTTCATCAGGCTGGGGCCTTGATTTCAGATGCCCCAACCTCCTGAAACAAGAAACACGCCTTTTGTTTAAGCGACCCAGTCTGCGGTGTTTTGTTACAGCGGTCCAGACTGGCTGCTCTCGCAGACCCTGGACTTTCCTCACTGCACCTCTTATCTAACCACTGTGTAACGGCCTCTCCCTCACAGGAGGCCAGGCTACCGCTGCATGGCCCTAAGAAGGCCGGCAGAGAGGGAGACCCCAGCCAACGGGCAGGGCAGCCACACAGAGTCCTTTTGCCTAGAGGTCTTAGGGACTTCCTCCTGTCCCTGAAAGCTAATTCAAGGAGGAGACACCATGCCCATCCCCCAGCCAGGTCAGAGCTGGCTGAGGAAGAACAGTGTTCAAAGGTGGCTCTGAGGACAGAAGGGACTCAGGCTGCAGGCAAGTGCGTGATGGCTTCTCAGAGGCTCCGGGTTCCCGGAGAGTTAAGCGAGCGGACTGGACACAGAGCCACAGTCAAGTGCAGCCAAGATAAGAACTCAGGCTAAAGAGTGTTAACGAGTGTTAACATCCACAGCGGCAGGCGAAGCCAGAGTTCCGGGAAGGCTAGCCTCAGGCATGAGTGGGTGCTGGACCCTTGGCTGGGTGTGAGGAGACGGAGGGAGAGAAGGGTGCCACCTGGGCTCCAGAGGCTGGAAGATGGCAGAGACAGGAAGACCACGCTGCAGACAGGAGGCCAAGTCAAAAAAGGGAATGAAAGATAGCTGAAGAGTCCAAGAAAAGTGCCAGACAGTGAGTCAGGTGTGGGGGAGGGGCTGCAGCAGCTACTAAGGAACCAAGATCCCGTTCCCAGGGTGAGTGCAGTCCTGTCCTAGGGTCCTGGAGGAAGGAAAAGCCATTCCCAGGAGCTGGCTCCCACCACACCCCCTGAGGAGCCTCAGGGGCAGGCCCCGGAATCAAAGAGAGCCAGGCTCCTTCCGGGATGGTAGCAGCTTGAGAATCTGGGGCCGCCCCCTTCCTGCCACCACACACAGGCGCTGACAGCCCAGAGAACGGAATGTCACCCAAGTCTAGTGACCACAGCCAGCCAGTACTCTGAATTCAGGCGACAAGGGACAGCTATGGGCAGTCCCGGCCCATCGATGTGCCCTGGGCCCCCAGCGGCCTCGATCCCCCTTCCAGGAATCTGAGGAATGTGTCCTTTGACCTCAGAACCCCAGGTCTTGATCAGTCATGCCCCCACCCCCAACACCTAGGGTCCCAGGACCCCAGACCCTCCTGAAAGGGCTTCCTGGGACACAGGAAAATCACCTCGGATCAGGCCTGGACCTCTCGGCAACTTTTGCCGGGCAGCTCAAGAGATGGCAGACAGGAAGCACTGACACGCCCCTCCCCCATCCAAGCCTCAGAAAGTGATGGGGGGGAGGGGACAGTTCTTTCGATGCGGCCTGCAGGGCCCTGCACTGGGTAAAAGCCAAATGTTTGCTGGCTACATGAAACTCTCTGTTCTTCCACTGAGGGAAAGCTGCACCCACAGTTACTCCTTCCCCTGCCTTCAGCCAGTTCTTCACTTTCATTCATTCATTCACTTGCTCGCTCACTCATCAATCAATCAAATTCTTGCTAAGCTTCCAAAAGGTTCCAAGCACGATGGCAGACACCGTACACAGGGCAAGGCGCTACAACCAACATCTCTCAAGCTGGAGTTACAGGAGGTGGGCAACGGGGACCAAGACAGGTTCCTCCGAGGAAGGAACGCAGGCAGAGTCCCAGATAAGGGACAGCCTGGTCAGGGAGCTGGAGCAAGGACAGCTGGGGCGCCTTCTGGCGGAGATGCAGTTAGAGGGCCTGTGTTAGCCCGAGGGCACCGGAAGCCACCAAGCGTGTGAGTGAGGACCGACAATTCTAGATTTGCACGGTTAAAAGATGGCTCAGCGCCTAGGCAGGAGAGGGTGTGCCCCGTAGGGCGCACGGGGCAGGGCCAGGTGAACTGACGGGACAAGGGCAGAGGAGAAACAAGGGGGTGGATTCAGTGACAGCCAGAGAGGCGTGGGCGGGGCTGTCAAAGATTTAGGGCCAGGGCGTGTTGACTTACTGCGCGAGGGGCCGAGGCTGCGGGCCCGGGAGTGTGGGGTGGGCAGCCAGGGCGCGGGATGCGGGCTACGTCTGGGAGTGACTGTACCGGAACCCGAGTGACTCAGTGCGTGGCTGTAGTGTGGGCACTTCCACGGGACGTGAAGGCGAAAGGGCCCCCGGGGAGGGGAAACTGAGGAAGGAGAGGAAACGCGTGCAGAGGAGCGAGTAGAAGTGCGTGGGAGAGAGCCTACGTGTGCCCGCGGGTGGCCGGTGTAGCTGCGCCCCGTGACTCACGGCTGTGGCCTCTGCGTGTGACGGTGACAGGTGAACATACGACACAATCCTCCGCCCCCTCCCTCTCCCCCCCGGGGTCCGTGACTCACCAAGCCTCACTCATTCCTCACTCATCCTTCCACACCCTCCCTGACCCCAGCCTGCCGGGGGCGCCCGGCACACGCCGCAGCTCCCGCGCCCTCCCCCTGGGGAGCCCGAGGAGGAAGGCGACCAATGTCACCTGCCCCGGCCACGCGAGTAACTTCTGAAAAGTTCTCAGGCAACTGGGTCAAAAGGAAACTCACCCGCAGGCACGCGCACCCCGTCACTCGCCACCTGCGCCCGGCTCCGGGGCGCCTGGGCATCTCGGGGTAACCACAGCGGGGCGGGGGAGGGGAAGCCTGGTCTCCCCCACCTCGCGGCCGCGGGCTCCCACCCCCGGCGCGCGCGATCTCCAGCCGAGCCGGGCGGCGGGATCCCGGCAGTGCCCCCCGGAGGACCCGGGAGAGATATGCCAAGGGGCTGGAGTGACAGACAGCGCCAGGCACCCGAGATGCCCCCTGCCCCGGTTCCCTCCCGGCCGCGTCCGGGGTCCCCGGGCCTCACCTAAGCTGGCGGCGCTCGCCGAGGACGCCGCGGTCACTCGTGTCCCGGCCCCGGGGTCGCGGCGCGCACGGCGACCCGCAGTGCGCTCGGCCGGGCGGCCGTCGGTGCAGCCGGCCCAGGTCTGCGCGTCCGGCGGCGGCGGGAGAGACTGGCTGAGCTCCGGCCCCGCCCGCAGCTCCGCCCTCCTCGTCAGTGGAAAACTCCGGGGCTCACGGCGCTGACGCACGCCGGGCCTCCCGCCAGGCCGCCCCGCAGCCCGCCGCCCGCGGCCCCGCCCCGGAGGCGCCGCCCCGCCCCCGCCCCGAGCCTCCCCGCGGACTCTGACCCGGCCGCGGCGCCGCTGCTCCGCGCTCGGCTCCCGCGATCGCCGAGCTCCGGGCCGGGCCGGGTCCCGGAGACGCCCCGCCTCCCTGCGCGCCGAGCCGTCCCGAGCTGCAGACTGGGTAGACTGAGGCTCCCCCTGCCCCACTCCTCCTGGGCAGCTTATCATCCATCCAATCCAACGACCCTTCCCGGGTTCCCACCCTACCTCTCCTTCCCAGATCTCGCAGAAAGATAACCGAGACTGGAGACCAGCCAGGGATGAGGAGAGAAAAGGTCATCCCGGGGCCTGGCCTTCACCTCTGCCCTCGGGCCAGAAGCTCCTACTCCCAAACAATACCCAAAGTAGAGATGGCTGGAGCCGGCTTCCCCACCCCCAAGCCTCCTTTAAAGCAAAACTTAAAAAAAAAAAAAGGAATCTGGTTTCTCCTAGGCCGGACCCTGGCCACTTACAGAGGCCTGCTGCCTCCTCTGCTCCCGCCAAGACCTTCCCTAGGCGCGCAGCCAACTCCCTGTACTCCTAGGCAGAAGAAAGTATGTTCTAGCAGTCTTCTCTCCCAGGAGCCCACCCCGGGCCTTGTCGGCCCATGGCAGGTCCAGCCCGACCCAGTACCTAGAGCGTTTTCACTCTCCATTCCTCAACTGTGTGACCCTCTGCTCACCTGAGGCAGTCCCTGCACGGCCTAGGAGGGCTGGCGCTGCTGCCTCCTCCGGGGAGCCTCCGTGGCAGCCCGACCCTCCCCCTTTCCCCTGCTCCCGCTGCATTCTGGGTTCTTCTCACTGTCCTATATGAATGCTGTCAGTGGCTAGTCCAACCCTCGGGATTCCATTCTCCCCTCCCCCCAGGTACGCTAGGGAGGTGACCTCCTGTCCCGCCTAAATGGCATCAGGGTGGAGAGGGTAGCAGGATCCCTTTCTTCAGTCTTCAGTTCCTCAGGCACATGTACAGAGGACAGCGGGGTCGGGGGTGGGGGTCGGCCTGCCCCTTCATCTATGGGAATGTGGGGTCTGGGGGCCAGATGAGATCCCCAGCACACAGCTTTGGTCCATCGAAGCGTCGGGGTGGCTGAGGCTGCTCAGGAAACAGTCCACAGGGCTAGCTGAAGATGTAGCTGAAGGTAGGGCGCTTGCCTGGCACGGGGGAAGCCCTGCGGTCATCCCTCACTTTAGGAGCAGTTGGTGGCGCAAGCCTCTGATCCCAGCAGTCTGGAGGCAGATCCAGGTGAATCTGGGTTGGAGGCCAGCCTGGTCTACAGAGCGAGTTCCAGGACAGCCAGGGCTACACAGAGAAACCCTATCACCAAACTGACCTGGCTCCATGTTGTACTCCTTTAAGTCCTGCAGGAAAGGTGCAAAGGTGGGGTAATTTGTGTTAGAGGCAAGCCAGGTCTACACAGGGACTTCCAGGACAAGCCAGAGCTATGGTGCAATGGGACCCTGTCTCTCTCTCACGTGTGTACACACACACACACACACACACACACACACCCTAAGAACTGCTGTGCCAGTAGGCTTCGGGCCCTCCAGGCCCCACACATCCCCATTATTGGATGATCAGCTGGTCTCTCCCTGTGCTGACAGGTTTGCATTGGTCTGTCCTTCACACTCTTGGTCTTCCAACTTGTCAACAGCAGATGGGTTTACTTTGTGTTTGGGGGACCGGGTCTCCCGTACCCCCGGGGCTGACCTTAAGCTCACTGTGCGCTTGAGGATGGCTGAACTTCCTGACTCTCTGGCCTCCAACTCCTGAGTGCTGGAAGTGTAGGCAGATGGCACCCCTCAGGACTTTATGTAGCACTGGGTATAGAACCCAAGCCTTTGTGCTTGCTAGGCAAGCACCCTGCCAACGGAGCCACTTCTGCCTAGCAGTACTTTCCACCTCGTGAGATGGGAGCCTTGACCGGAGAGCCTCGCCAGCTGCAGCGTTCCTGGCCTCGGATTCTGCAAGATGCTGCTGAGGGAGCTGGGTAGGGCTGGACGCTAGAGTTAATGAGGTTCTCTGGAGCTACCTAGCTCTGCCTCCTGCTCGGCTCTGTATCCAGGAAACCAGAGGCTGAAAGCAGGGCAGGGAGTTGGCAAGGAGTGCCGTGGGGGCTTAGAGCGGGGAACCTGATGGGCGCGGGAGTCTGGCCAGCAGGAGGAGGAGATTAAAGGGGAAAAAATATAATCAAATAAGTGGTGTATTTCTGCAGAAAAGCATCTCGCTGTCCTGGGATGGCTCACCAGATGTTGCCCAGATGTTGCTGGTGCTGGGAAGCGTCTCCCTCAGGGAGTTCATCTGAACTCTTCCTGTTCATGGGGAATGAAGGGTCTGTTTCAAGGCAGGCAGGGTGGGGTGGGGAACACACATCTGTAAATATGCCGTACACACACATGTACATTATACATGTCAAATCAGGCAAAGTCACCCACACATCCTCAGGGAACTTCTGAATACTTGGAGACCTGCAAGTACTAATTCCTCAACATCTAAGGACCACCCACTCATTTAGGTAAATTATTATTGCAAATTTTGTTTTTTTCTGTGTGGCCCTGGCTGTCCTGTAGACTAGGCTGGCCTCGAACTCAAAGATCTGCCTGCGTCTACCTCCTGAGTGCTGGGATCAAAGGTGTGCACCGCCACTGCCTGACTTTAAGTAATTTTTTTTATTTAATGCACTGAGGCATTTAGGGTGAAATAGACTTAGGAACAGCAGCCACTCTGGGCTGGGGCAGCTAGCTGGGTTAGGAGAGCCAACACTTCTGAGTTAAGGGGTGGAGCCTCTGAGTTAGTGAAGGGCTAGATAAAACATAAGGTGTGGCTGATGGTCTCACGAGAGCAGTATCCGCTATCTGTCACAGCCCAAAGCTCTGTTCATGGCAAAGATGGCTCTCTGGAGAGTAAGTAGCTGGGGGCCTCTGGGGCCTCTGAGTTGGTTGTGCAAGGAAAAGGGGTGGGGGGCAAGGTCGGTCCTATCTCCTTAGGAGCCTCATTCTTCAGCCCAGTGACATCATCTTCCCTGGAGCCAGTGCTGACCATGCTGCCCCCTTGGTCACCGTTAAGGAGATTTAAGGAAACCCTCTAGGACTCCCGCCCTGCCCCTCCACCCTCCTAGGGCACCCACCAGCCTAAGGCAGAACAGCTAGAGACTGGGCCCTGACCTTCAGCTCCTCCTCCTCGAACTTGGGTAAGCCGGTTCTTAGACTCTCCTAGCCTGGCTGACTCTCCTAAGCCTGGGCAGGCTCAGCAGCCTGTGATATCAAGAACTCTGCTGATCCCGTTGCCCATCAACTTTAAGACCCACTGAGCTGAAGCACAGAAAGAAAAACAAGGCCACGTTTTCCTGGGCAGTGGTGGCACACTTTAATCCCAGCACTTGGAGGCAGAGGAAGGGAGATTGCTGCAAGTTTGAGGCCAGCCTGGTCTACAAAGTGAGTCTAGGACAGCCAGATGATCAGGAGTTTCGGGCCAACATCCGCTGCATAACAAGTTTGAGGTTAGAAAAAAAAAAAGGGTTTTATTTGACAGGGTCTCACTATGCTGCCAAGTCATGTCTCACTTTCCAGGCTATAGCCCAGCTTTATATATCATCTACCTTATTTACTTGTTTATGTATTCATTTTTCTAGTCTATATATAGAACTCACTCTATAGTCCAGGCTGATCTAGAACTCAAAAATCTGCCTTCAAGTGCTGGGATTAAAATCATTCACCACCACTGTCCAGTTCTAGCGCAAGGTTTTTGGTCTTTTTTGTTTTGTTTTGTTTTCGTTTTTTTTGAGACAGGGTTTCTCTGTGTAGCCTTGGCTGTCCTGGACTCACTTGGTAGACCAGGCTGGCTTCAAACTCACAGAGACCCGCCTGCCTCTGCCTCCCTGAGTGCTAGGATTAAAGGCCTGTGCCGCTGCGCCTGGTTGCTCCCTTTGTATTTTTTGTTTTTATTTTCATTAATTGTGTGTGTTGCAGATATTTGATCCCATTGTGAACCCCGAGATTGTGAACTGTAAAAACTTGTTTCTTGTTTTGAATGGTTCACCCCAACACACGCCTTTAATCCAAGCTTTCTGTACACAGATTTAATAAAGTTAACCTTAGGTCAAAAGGCAGAGCAAGAAACCAGCTGACAGAGATCCGTAGAAAGGAGGGGCTTTGAGAGAAGAGGTTTAAGACAGCGTGGAGAAGGAGCTCTTTGGCTTTCAGCTTTTGGCTTTCTTTTGGTGAGTTAGGAGGCCTTTTCCTCCTGTGCTATCAGCTGAGCTAGCAAGCTTTTGGCTTTGGGCTTTTTTTTTGTCTTTTAGCTTTTGTCTTTTTCCTTCCGGCTGTAGGCTGAGTTAGATCAGCTGGGTGCTTTCTCTGCCTCTCTGAGCTAGCAGGTTTTCACCACAGCATCTGGCTCCTGAGTCTTCGCTGGTAAAATCAAACGATTGGGATTTTCATTCTGTATAACAACAAGTGGGAGACATGCATATACAATGGGACACCCATGGAAGTCAAAGGACTACTTTTGGAAACTTGTTCTCTTCTACGTCATAGTACGCAGGGTTTGAACTCAGGTCCTCAGTCTTTGCAGCAAGTGCTTTTACACATTGAGCCGTCTCACCATCCTGTGTGTGTGTGTGTGTGTGTGTGTGTGTAGTTTTATTTAAAATTTTGATTCATGTATACAATTGTTCTATCCATCCACTACTCCCGCTTCCAACTCCCCCTACTCCCAGTCCTGAGCACGTAAGTTCCCCGTCTCAATTTCAAGATATCATTAAAAAAGAAAAAATCCACGGAGTCCAATTAGTATTGTCAGTACACAAATAGATGTGAGGCTTCCCCTGACGTGCCAGGCCTCTATCAGTGGCCACGCCTCTAAGAAACTGGCTATCCCTCTCCTTGCAACCCTCAACTGCCAAGAGCTGCTCAGATGGGTGGAGCTTTCTAAGCCCCGCCCAGGCTTTCAGCAGTTACAGCAGCCTGAGTTCATGAGTGCAACAGCCCTGGCAAATCCAGAGAGAGCGTTTCACAGCCCTCTTCTGTAGCCTCTGGCTTCTACAACCTTTCCACCCCCTCTTCTGCAGTGTTCTCAGATCTGGGGCAAGTGAGGGAGGAGAACCGATACAGATGTTCCATTTGAAGTGTTTGTTTTCACTAATTTAAGATTAAAACAAACTGATTTCTTACGTGTATTGGAGTCTGTTTCTATTTTTATCTGTTATTCATGTGCATGTATGTGTCTGAGCACATGAAAACATGCATATGTACCTGTGCACACCAAAATGAAGTGTTGGTGCCTCCTCTCTCGAGTCTCCATCCAGGTCTTTGAGGCAGGGTCTCTCCTTCAGCCTGGGGCTCACACTTTCTGGGCTAGGCTGGAGGCTGGCGAGTTACCAGCACCTTCGGGCTGCAGTTACAGGGGTTTGGGGGTGCCTGGCTTGATACATGGTTGCTGGGTTCCAAACGCATGATTGAGCAGCAAGTGCTGGTACCTGCTGAGCCTCAGATCAGTATCTGGATCATTCTGGATCTTTGGCCTCGGGGAGGTTATTACCGTTTTTCCTGTTGCGGAAAAGACACTCAGATTTTGAAGACAGAACTACGATGCCAAACTTTAGCCCTGCAGAATCAAGCTCTTTCATTTGTTTTCTTCTCTTGGCAGAAATGTCTACATAAAAGCAAGCCCAGGGTGGGGGAAGGGGCAGCATCCAAGCCTCCAAATCATTACGAAAACATACAGACGTGCACATATGTCCCTCCGAGTAAACAAACCAGACATGGAAGAACAGAAAAATGGAGACACTGACATAGAAAGTGGAGGAGAAGATAACCAGGCTAATGTGTCAGTGACACAGCAAATGTAACTGGGATGGACTCACCTGCACAACACAAAGCTTCTTACACTGGCATCGATGCCTGACTAACTCAGGTGGTGGACTGGAGGACATCACAAGTGCTGGGCAGAGGCCACAACATGCATAGCCACCAGTCAACTCAAAATAAAAATGTGGGCAGGCTGGATGGCTCCAAAGTCACTCACAGCTGTCTTGTAACTCCCATTCCAGTGGATCTGAGGATGTCTGAGGTAACCTCCTAGGCTACCAGGCACACACAGTAACACCTTCATACATCCGGGCAAACATCCGTACACACACACAAAAAAGTAAAAATCTTTAAAAAATAGACTGTGGGCTGGGATGTGCCTCAGTGGCAGAACACTAGTCTAGCATGGCCTGGCTTCAGTACCACTGCCAAAACCCAAAACAAACAGAATCCACCAATAAACAGGTGTCCTTAGCTGCTGAGGCAGGGGGATCAAAAATTAAATGCCAGTATGGGGAACTTATTGAGACCTTATCTCAAAAAATTAAAAGTGCAGCCCGGCAGTGGTGGCGCACGCCTTTAATCTTAGCAGTGGGGAGGCAGAAGCAGGTGGACTTTGAGTCAGGGCGACATAGAGCCTCTCCCAAGGTGCTGTGCACATTCACACACACACACACACACACACACACACACTCTCTCTCTATATATATATCTTTTGTACTTTATAAAAATCATAGATATAATATATATTGTATATTTATATATTTATTATTATTATATTTATATATATTTATATAATTTATATATATAATATAATTTTTATAAAGTACAAAAGAGATGGGGCATGTTGAATGCTTACCTAGGGAGTACGGGGTTACATCATCCACTTTTTTACCCAGAGCTCTCAAATACCCACCATTGGCTTTTCTCGCTGTACATTCCAAAATGAGGTGGCATTCCAGACTGCCACCTGACAGCCAATCTTTGTGAAGACATTGGCCCTCAGACGCAGATTTTATTTTGTTCCAAATCTGGGAATTAATGTTGGACCGGTCAGTATACCAAAAAAACAACACACTTAAAATAGGATGGTTATTAAAAAGGCTAATTATGAAAGTGCAGGCTCAGGAGCTTCCCAGAGGTCAAGCTCGAGGACAGCCAGAGCCACTGTCACTGACAGGTCTGGGAGAAAGAGGAGGGACCCAGGGGCCATCTTTATCAGGAGAAAGAAGGGAGAGAGCAGAGTTCTCTTAGCAGGAGTGCTGTAAATCTGTAGTGACTGATGGGAAGGGCTTGCCTTCCATACTAGTCCCTGCTAGGAGCACTCATGGCAGAAGCCACCTGGAAACCAGAGCATGACTCTAACATTTTCCTGGTTTATTTGTTTGTTATTTTGATTATTTTGGCTAAGTTTGGTCTGGATTTTGGACGGGATTTTATAATGTAGCCTTGGCTGTGCTTGAAATCACTATGCAGACCAGGCTGGTCTTGAACTCAGTGATCAGTCAGCCTGCCTCTGTTTCCAAGGTGCTGGGACTAAAAGTGTGTGCCCCCAGCGTGACTCTAACCTTTCTGTGTGTGCTGTGTATGTGGGTACACTCACTTGTGTGCACGTGTGCATGTCAGATCCACCTCTCGCTCTTCACTCTTGTCAAGAGTCAATGGTAGAGCCTGCTGCTGCCACCTTATTCTCTGAGACACAGTCTCTTGACTGAACTGAAACTCACAGTTTTGGCTAGATTTACTGGCTGGAGATCCTTCTGTCTCCACCCCAACCCCTACCCAGGCTGAAATTACAGATACACCCCTCCAAGCTCAGGTTTTCCTAGGGTATTGGGATCTGAACCCAGACCCTCATTGCTTGAGGGAGTGTTTTACCCACTGAGTCAGCTCCCCAGCCTGGTGCTAACTTGACAATCAGAACAAAGTGTCATCACGTACATTTCCCTCCTTGGGTATGTGTGTGTATAGATGTGTGTGAGAGAGAGGGAGGGAGGGAAAGGACAATGTGCCGGTAGAGTGCTTGCCTAGTTCACACAAAGTCCTGCGTTTGACCCTTAGCACAAGTCTGTAATCCCAGCACCCCCACTTTGGAGGTGAAGGTCATCCTCACCTGCATAGCAAAGCCAAGGCCAGCCTGGGCTACATGAGCCTGTGTCTCCTTTTTTCCTTTTTTGTCTTTCTTTCTTCCCTCCCCTCTCCAGACAGGGTTTCTCTGTGTAGCCCTGGCTGTCCTGAAACTCACTTTGTAGAGCAGGCTGGACTCGAACTCAGAGATCCGCCTGCCCTTGCCTTCCTCCTGAGTGCCGGGATCAAAGGCATGCCCACCATAGGCCAGATTATGCAACACATTCTCTTGAACAAATGAAAATAAAAATAAAAACTATCACAGGAGAACCCTCAGCAGATACCTCACCCTATGGCATGGCCAGGAATTCTCCTAGAGCAGCAAGAGAATTAGCAGTGTGGGAAACGGGACGGCCATGGGTAACACAGACCGCTTTTTCCCCCTGAGCCTGGAGAATGTGTGCGCGGATCAAGACTGAGGGTCTGTTATCCAGAAAGAACGGAAGGAATGAATTCACCATTGAGACTGTGAGGCCCCTTCCAGGGCTTCTGCTCCACAGTGTGGCCTCTTGTCTGTTGGCACTCACTGGGCACAACCACAGCGCGCACCGTTGGCCTGATGTGTCATCCAGATGCGTTGTTTGATCAACTAATTTTTACCAAGAGCTTGCTGTGCTTTTTCTCTGGTCATGATATCTCTCAGAGGCCTCTGGCTCTGTTTATAAGTCCCTGGATGGATTGTGTTGTTTTCATTTCAAGATGGGCAGTTCCTATGATGCTTCAAGGGCTTTTATTATTTTCTGTCTTTGAAAAAAAAATTTCATGGACATCACACTAGACTTAATTTTACCCATAACCTGGGAACAAACAAACCCGGATTTCTAACTGCTAAAAGGGCCCTAGTGGGCTTCCTACAAACGTTTCACCAGATTTCACAGCACAGGTGGGGATGTTGCTCAGTTGGTCCAGTGCTTGCTCAACACACACAGCTCCCTGAGTCCCTCCCCCCAGCATCACAGAGAACTACACTTGTGGATACACACCTATAATTCCAGCACTTGGGAGGTAAAGACGGGAGAAACAGGAAATCAAGGTCTTCCTTGGCTATGCGGTGAGTTCAAGATCAGGCCGGGCTACGTGAGACCTTGTCTCCAACACCACCACTGTCACACACTCATGTCCATGCCTGTTGTATGCCTCCCTCACCCTCCTCTTGACACAGGGAGTCACTATAGGGATAAGGCTTTAGACTCACAGAGGTTCTCCTGCCTGGATCTCGAGTGCTGAGACTAAAGATGCGCACCACCATTCCAGCAAGGACCATCCTTACTCTTCCACGCATCCGTAAGGTTTGAAGCCATGCTGTCCACTACAACAATGGTAAGATGAAAAGAAATCCAGCTGTCGTCAGCAGAAGGTGAAAATGGCTGGCGTGAGCATATTGTCACCGGTTGGAGTGCAGTTGACGGCCCTGTTTTTACTGAATCGAACTGGCCAGGAGCAGTCTGGTGCCTCGCAAGGACACGACAGTTACTACAGAAAGAGTGATTTCTGAGGACATTGTCACTGACCTCACACTTCTGGAAAGTGCTGAACAAACCTGTCTGCACAGCAATCCTCGAGTCAGCCTCAGCGCTGCAGCCCTCACAAGGCAAGGAGTGCCGAGCCCATCATTTTGACTGGCTGACGCTCGGCCTGGGGCAATCCTTCTCTTCTTTCAAACCCCCAGTGCAGAGAGCGGTAGCAGCCATCCCTGGGAGTCAACCCAGTGCACTCAGCACCCTTTGTTGGCTTCATTCCGCCTCCCTCTTCTTATCTCCATGGGCATCTGAACACACACATCATGTACACACACAAGCATACAACACACACATACATAAAATAAAATAAATCTTTGAAAAGGAAAAAAGAAATATAGTTTGAAGATTGACCTGGTAGCACAGAATTAAAATCCTAGCTACTCCAGAGGCTGAGACAGGAGGATTAAAAGTTTAAGCCTGCAGGTAGATCTTTGAGTCTGAGGCCAGCCTGGTCTATTCCAGCCTGGTGAGTTCCAGGACAGCCTGGGCTACACAGAGAAGCCCTGTATCCAAAAACAAACAAGCAAACAAGTAAGCTTGGTTTGTGGTGGTAGCTGCAATCCCAGTGCTTGGGAGGTGGAGACAAGAGTTCAAGGTCATGGTCACTAAATAGCAAGTGAGTTTAAGGACACCCTGGGCTACATCCTTGACGCAACAAAATTGACTAATACATTGCTTAATTAACGTTTAAAACTGGCTGAGGGTGTAGCTCAGAGGCAGAGAGCATGTCTGGCACACTTGCTCTCCTGCACAAGGCATCATCCATCCTTCTTACTGAGCTCTGCCAGGCTGATACATCAGTGGGTCACAGCTAGAAAGCTGCCTGCTCTTGTATAGTATTTTTTGTTGTTTTTGTTTTTTTAAGACAGGATTGGTTCCTCTGTGTAGCTTCGGCTGTCCTGGAATTTGCTCTGTAGACCAGGCTGGCCTTGAATTCAGGCAGGCTGGCCTGCCTCTGCCTCCCAGTGCTGGGATTAAAGGCGTGCACCCCCTCCCGGTGGTTTGAAGTAGGCAGAGTCTGGGCATGGGAAGTATGGAGACATTTTAATTATTCTCAGGGTGACTGACTAGAGGAAAGTAGGACCCACACTGACCTTAGCATGTCAAGTCCAAGAAGGAAGGTAGGCCAGTGGCTTCCTTTCCTCTTCTGACCCTGCTCTCTTGGGAAACCCCTTTGTAGGGAAAGCATTGGGTCTGTTCCATAGGAAATCCCCCTCCAAGCCAAGGAGGCAGCCTAGGGACAGGGCTACTTACCCAACCCCTGCAATCCTCCTGTCCACTCCCTGTTCTGCTGTGGGTAACAGGGCTCTCCTGAAGTGGCCTGTGGCTGCTGAGATGCTGGTTGCAGTGGGGACCTGGTCCCTTTCTATGTTTTATTTTTTAAGCCACACTTCGTTTTCAGTGCATGCGCACGTGTGTGTGTGTGTGTGTGTGTGTGTGTGTGTGTGTGTGTACATATATATCCAAGCAGGCTAGGGGAGTCTACTCCCTGAAGTTGGGGCTGGAGCTACAGGTGGTTATGAGCCACCTGATGCGGGTGCAGCAAGCCCCAGCCCTCTGCAAGAGCAGCGCATGGTGCCCAACCCCGGAACCATCGCTCCAGCCCCACCTCTTCCTATTTTTTAAAACAGGGTATCACTAAATTGCTCAGGCTGGCCTTGAACCGATGGCCTTCTAGCTTTGGCCTCCTGGGTAACTGGAATTACAGACTGATAAGTAACTGAAAAATGATAAAAAGACTTTTGTGTTCTGTAGGAATAAATACCTTGTCCCAGGTAGACCTTCATCAGAAAGCACTACGATGGAGCCAAGTCACAAAATCCCTGTACTTGGGAGGTGGAGGCAAGAGGGTCCAAGAGGGTTCAAGGGCAGCCTCAGCTTCACAGTAAGATATTTATGTTTGTTTTATTTATGAAGAACCCCACATACCCTAGGCTGGCCTCAAACTCACTGTACAGCTGAGGATGACCTTGAACTCTTGATCCTTCTGCTTCCATCTCCCAAATGCTGGGATTGCAAGCACATACCATCCATCCTGCCTTTGAAATGTAATTTTTGCTATGGAATATTAAAAATACTAAAAGCAGGGCTGGAGAGATGGCTCAGCAGTTAAGTGCACTTGCTGTCCTTGAGCGCACAGAGATCTCCCTGCCTCATGAGTGCTAGGATGAAAGGTGTGTGCCACCACCCCTGGCCTGAAGATAGCTTTTCTAAAGGGCTGGGTACAGTTGGGGGCAGAAAGTAAGCATGAGGAGTCACAGCGCACAGCGGGACCTGGCTTAATCCAGATGTCCAGGGTCATTGCTCCTAAGGTCACTGGCTGGACTGACCCAGGGTAGAAGGACCCTTGTAGCAGCTTCCTCAGACACCCCCCCCAGACTCTGCCAACCCTCCTGAAAGTTCACCGGCATGGCGAGTCTGCCTTCCTGTCCGTTAGAGGAAACCCCGACTTCTGTTCCTGGTTCTGGGAGGCAGCTCAGAGGCAAAGCTCATCCCTAGTATGTGGGAGGTCCTGGGTTCAATTCACAAGACCACAGATTGCTCTCTTTCTCTTTTTCAGTGGAAAAGTTTGTTTGTTACTTGTGTGTTGGTGTGTGTGGTGTTCTGGTGTCAAGTGTGAACTTACCTGTGCACATGTCCAGGGAAGCTAGAGCCATCTCTCCGCTACACTAGCTGGCCTCCTCCTCTCCCCCCAGCACCGGGATTATATACACAGGCTGTCAAAGCCTGACTTTCACATGGACACCCCCTCCGTGTGTGTGTGTGTGTGTGTGTGTGCGCGCTCGCGCACGTGTGTGCAACTATCTGTCTCTCTCTGCCTATGTGTCTGTCTCCTCTGTCTCTCTCCTTAGCCTGTCTGCAGTGTTTATTCCAACCTGCTCTCTCTCTCTTTCCATTCCTCCTTCCCTCCTCTTTCTCCTACTGACAATACTCTTGCTTGGTTTGGCAACAGGCAGGGCTCTGGGCTCCAGCCTCACTGGAAGACCCTATCCCAGTTCTGATTTCTCTCCTAGTCTCTAATTGCCAGAGGGCAGTGACTGCCTTTCCTTGTCTACCTGAGTTCAGCCTCTGGTATCATGGCTGTCTCTGGGATCATGGCTCAGCCTCTGGGATCATGGCTCAGTCTCTGGAATCATGGCTTCATCCATGGGCCCTCTTCTCTGCATGATCCTGTCCGTCTTCTCTGGTCTTGTCTCTGCACTGGGGACTAACCCTGCAAGCCTGAGCCTTCTTGGGGTTTCCAGGGTCTCTGGGGGAGTAGAGTGAGCCCGGACGTGTGTTTCCCTTGTAAGGATGCCATCAACAGGCTCCAGCAAAACTCAGCTCCTGCCAGCTGTGGGCATCCACACGTGGATAGCAAAAAATAAAAATTAACCCCCTTCTGTGGATGGAGTCATACAGTTGGATGTCTCTTCTATTCTCTCCTCTGAGCTTTCTCTCTTACCTTGCCTCTGAGTTGGTTTTGCGATGTCACCAGCCTCAAAGTCACAACTTTCCTACCTTAGTTGCACTCTCTTCTGAATGCTCAGATTATAGCTCCGTGCCACTGTGTTGGCTGACTCCTCTTCTTCCCCCTTAGAATTGTGGGAGCTTAAATTGCCACTTAGTGACTTGGGGGCCAACATTGTCCTCGTGGCTTCTTTACACTTGGCTTGACTTGCAAAGGCGGCCCTTTTTTTTTTTTTAAAGAAGCCCTCCTCAACTTTCTCATTCGAGCATGCCAGCTGTTTTTCTCTGGGGCCTTCCCTTGTTCAAATTCCAAACACTCCTGTTTGTACCACTTCTGAGACTGCAGCCCCCGTGAGCATTTCAGATTCTTCCCTCAATCGCAACAAATCCTCAATATTCTCCGGCCCGGCCGGCAAAAGACAGGCTAGTGCTTCAGTTACACCACGGCCTGGGGCGGCTTCCCCTCACACCTACATCCGGGCTTTCCGTCCACACGTTCTATCAACTCTGTGGTCAAAATACATCCAAGAAGTCGCCTTTAATCCCAGCACTAGGGAGGCAGAGGCAGGCAGATCTCTGTGAGTTCAGGGCCAGCCTGATCTACAAACGGAGTTCCAGGATCGCCAAGGCTACGCTGAGAAAACAAACAACCCTCCCAAAGACCAACAACAACAAACAACCAAAAAACCAACCAACCAACCACCCAACCAACCAACCAACCAACCAACCAACCAACCAACCAACCAACCAACCAACCAACCAACCAACCAACCAACCAACCAACTAACAAACAAAAACCTCAAAATCAAAACATATAGGAGCAGCGCACTGATCCCTATCTCGGCCCACTCTGGTCCTCTCTCCGCCCACTCCGGTCCTCTCTCCGCCCACTCTGGTTCTGTCTCCGCCCCCTCCGGTCCTCTCTCCGCCCACTCTGGTTCTCTCTCCGCCCACTCCGGTCCTCTCTCCGCCCACTCTGGTTCTATCTCCGCCCACTCCGGTCCTCTCTCCGCCCACCCCAGTCCTTTCTCCGCCCACTCCGGTCCTCTCTCCGCCCACTCCGGTCCTCTCTCCGCCCACTCTGGTTCTATCTCC